AGATATTCGTTATTAAAATACATATAGTTAAAGGGATCTGGTGAACGATACTTAAAGATATTCGTTATTAAAATACATATAGTTAAAGGGATCTGGTGAACGATATTTAATGATATTCGTTATTAAAATACATATAGTTAAAGGGATCTGGTGAACGATATTTAATGATATTCGTTATTAAAATACATATAGTTAAAGGGATCTGGTGAACGATATTTAAAGATATTCGTTATTAAAATACATATAGTTAAAGGGATCTGGTGAACGATATTTAAAGATATTCGTTATTAAAATACATATAGTTAAAGGGATCTGGTGAACGATATTTAAAGATATTCGTTATTAAAATACATATAGTTAAAGGATCTAAAGTGAACGATATTTAATGATATTCGTTATTAAAAATACATATAGTTAAAGGGATCTGGTGAAACGATACTTAAAAGATATTCGTTATTAAAAATGTACATGCTAGTTAAAGGGATCTGGTGAACGATATTTAATGATATTCGTTATTAAAATACATATAGTTAAAAGGATCTGGTGAACGATATTTAACGATATTTAATGATATTCGTTATTAAAATACATATAGTTAAAGGGATCTGGTGAACGATATTTAATGATCTTCGTTATTAAAATACATATAGTTAAAGGGATCTGGTGAACGATATTTAAAGATATTCGTTATTAAAATACATATAGTTAAAGGGATCTGGTGAACGATATTTAAAGATATTCGTTATTAAAATACATATAGTTAAAGGGATCTGGTGAACGATACTTAAAGATATTCGTTATTAAAATACATATAGTTAAAGGGATCTGGTGAACGATATTTAATGATATTCGTTATTAAAATACATATAGTTAAAGGGATCTGGTGAACAATATTTAATGATATTCGTTATTAAAATACATATAGTTAAAGGGATCTGGTGAACGATATTTAAAGATATTCGTTATTAAAATACATATAGTTAAAGGGATCTGGTGAACGATACTTAAAGATATTCGTTATTAAAATACATATAGTTAAAGGGATCTGGTGAACGATATTTAAAGATATTCGTTATTAAAATACATATAGTTAAAGGGATCTGGTGAACGATATTTAAAGATATTCGTTATTAAAATACATATAGTTAAAGGGATCTGGTGAACGATATTTAAAGATATTCGTTATTAAAATACATATAGTTAAAGGGATCTGGTGAACGATACTTAAAGATATTCGTTATTAAAATACATATAGTTAAAGGGATCTGGTGAACGATATTTAAAGATATTCGTTATTAAAATACATATAGTTAAAGGGATCTGGTGAACGATATTTAAAGATATTCGTTATTAAAATACATATAGTTAAAGGGATCTGGTGAACGATATTTAAAGATATTCGTTATTAAAATACATATAGTTAAAGGGATCTGGTGAACGATACTTAAAGATATTCGTTATTAAAATACATATAGTTAAAGGGATCTGGTGAACGATATTTAAAGATATTCGTTATTAAAATACATATAGTTAAAGGGATCTGGTGAACGATAATTTTTGATAATATTTTTCACTCAAGTAAATTGAAAAAAAAAAAGCAAAAATAAAAAAATAGCGTGAAAGTAAAATAATATAAAATAAATGAAAATAATATAGAATAAATATAATATAAAACAATATATCATAAGGATTCCGTGTGGCTAATAGTAGAAATGGCCTATTACCCCGCACAATATAGTTCAGTTCTTTTTTTTTTTTTCAGCGTAACCAATGTATTTTAACGCCTATTTTCCATTAAGAAGATTAAAAGTGAGTTGAGGGTATGATTTATTGCGTGTGTGTGTTTGTGTGTGTGTGTGTGTGTGTGTTTGTGTGTGTGTGTGTGTGTGTGTGTGTGTGTGTGTGTGTGTGTGTGTGTGTGTGTGTTTTAATCCTAGTTCACAGTGGAAATAAAAATAATTGATAACGCAGGAAACGGTAATTGCTGGGTGTTTATAAAGTCCCTTGATGTTTGGTGTTTAATGACTATAAGTTTTCTATGATTTTTTTTAACGTTTTCTATGATTTTTTTTATACATTTTGTTATTTTTTTTATAAGTTTTCTATGATTTTTAAAACGTTTTCTGTGATTATTGTTGTGTTATGTCGTAAAGTTGGCTGGAAATGTCGCTCCTCAGGATTTAAATTGGTTAAGTTCAAAGGAAAGAATATCTTACATAAGTTTTAATTGTAGTTTACAGTAAGAGCTTAATGTACTATGTGCTTAATAGACTTTAGTTGTTGAAGTGTAGAAATGGGGTCACCTGATGTATGCCCACCCTAGTTAATCTCACCTGATGATTAACCACGCTAACCTAACCTAACCACACTAACGCTAACCTAACCTAGCTAATCTCACCTGATGATTAACCACACTAACCTAACCTAACCACACTAACGCTAACCTAACCTAGCTAATCTCACCTGATGATTAACCACACTAACCTAACCTAACCACACTAACGCTAACCTAACCTAACCTAAGCTAACCTAAGCTAACCTAACGCTATTTGGGGGATAAGGTTAGGTTAGGTTATGTTAGATTAGGTTAGATTAGGTTGGGTTAGATTAGGTTAGATTGGGGTATGCTAGGTTAGGTCAGGTCAGCATTAGGTTGGATTAGATTAAGTTAGGTTAGGTTAGTTCAAGTGGGGATAGGTTAAGTGAGCTAAGGTTAAACTAGCCCAATATTAGTCTAGGTTAGATTAGGTTAAGCTACAGTAAACTAGGTCAGTATTAGGTTAGGTTAAGCTACCGTTAGCTAGGTCAGCATCAAGTTAGGTTAGATCAGGTCAGGTCAGCTCAGGTTAGGAAGAAATTAAGTAAATTTATTCATTGCTGTGGTGATCATTGTCAACAAGTGCTGTCACCTCTTGTGGGTATATTGCACACATAGACCGCAACAGTAAACGGTATTATTAGCTCTTGCAACCTTCAATATGTTGCAGAAAAATTGCATGTATTTATAAATGCAAAATCGGTTATCTTACTGACCAGAAATAATAATGGATATGATAAAATCGAATAAACTGAAAGAATACGTGATTTTAATGTTTGATTTTTCGCTTTTCTGATTTTTCAATATTTTCTGTGGATTTGTATACATCTATTAACGATAAGTAACAAATTAGTCTTGGATTCTCAAAACATCTTTAAACCTCACCTAACCTAACCTAGCCTAACCTAACCTAACCTAACCTAACCTAACCTAACCTAAACCTCACCTAACAGGACAACTTACGATCAAACACACAAAAGACTTTTAATTCCACAGGAGATTTAACATAATTAGATACATTTACTTAACTCCAGTCAAGGGTTAAAATTAACATAGTCTTTGTGAATGTTAACATGAGGACCAATTGTGATGTGGTCTAGATGAAAGAATACATTTTAGAGTATGTATACTCGGTGCCTTGCTAAGTATATACATTTTAGAGTATGTATACCCGGTGCCTTGCTAAGTATATACATTTTAGAGTATGTATACCCGGTGCCTTGCTAAGTATATACATTTTAGAGTATGTATACCCGGTGCCTTGCTAAGTATATACAGTTTAGAGTATGTATACCCGTGTGCCTTGCTAAGTATATACATTTTAGAGGATGTATACTCGGTGCCTTGCTAAGTATATACATTTTAGAGTATGTATACCCGGTGCCTTGCTAAGTATATACATTTTAGAGTATGTATACCCGGTGCCTTGCTAAGTATATACAGTTTAGAGTATGTATACCCGGTGCCTTGCTAAGTATATACATTTTAGAGGATGTATACCCGGTGCCTTGCTAAGTATATACAGTTTAGAGTATGTATACCCGGTGCCTTGCTAAGTATATACATTTTAGAGTATGTATACCCGGTGCCTTGCTAAGTATATACATTTTAGAGTACCGTATAGTTATAATGTATATACGCCTCATTAAAGATATACATTTTATAGTGTATTTTTTGCGTATATACACATTGGTAAATATATACACTTTAGAGTATAATTATGTATATTTATAACCTGCCAGAGATATACATTTTAAAGTATAATTTATATATATACACCTAAAGATTTATTGATGGGAAATTGATATTATATGAATCTTAAAAGGTAAACAGATGTCGTTTCCATCATGCCGTAGCTTCCACAGTCCACCATGTTCCTCAATATTGTTCCCATCATGCCGTAAGCTTCCACAGTCCACCATGTTCCTCAATATTGTTTCCATCATGCCGTAGCTTCCACAGTCCACCATGTTCCTCAATATTGTTCCCATCATGCCGTAAGCTTCCACAGTCCACTATGTTCCCAATATTGTTCCCATCATGCCGTAGCTTCCACAGTCCACCATGTTCCTCAACATGTTCCCATCATGCCGTAGCTTCCACAGTCCACCATGTTCCCAACACACCGATCATGCCGTAAGCTTCACAGTCCACTATGTTCCCATTGTTCCCATCATGCCGTAGCTCATAGTCCAGCCTGCGTTCCCAATATCGTTCCCATCATGCCGTAGCTTCCACAGTCCACCATGTTCCTCAATATCGTTCCCATCATGCCGTAAGCTTCCACAGTCCACCATGTTCCCTCAATATTGTTCCCATCATGCCGTAAGCTTCCCACACCACCATGTTCCCCAATATTGTTCCCATCATGCCGTAGCCCCACAGTCCACCATGTTCCCAATATTGTTCCCATCATGCCGTAGTCTCTACAGCGTCCACCATGTTCCTCAATACGTCTCATCATGCCGTAGCTTCCACAGTCCACTCATGTCTCTCAATATTGTTCCCATCATGCCGTAGCTCCACAGTCCACCATGTTCCTCAATATTGTTCCCACCATGCCGTAGCTTCCACAGTCCACCATGTTCCTCAACATTGTTCCCACTGCTGCAGCTTCCACAGTCCACCATGTTCCCCAATATTGTTCCCATCATGCCGTAAGCTTCCACAGTCCACCATGTTCTCAATATTGTTCCCCATCATGCCGTAGCTCCCACAGTCCACCATGTTCCTCAATATCGTTCCCATCATGCCGTAGCTTCCATAGTCCACTATGTTCCCTACACAGTTCCATCATGCCGTAGCCCCACAGTCCACCATGTTCCTCAATATCGTTCCCATCATGCCGTAGCTTCCACAGTCCACCATGTTCCTCAATATTGTTCCCATCATGCCGTAGCTTCCACAGTCCACCATGTTCCTCAATATCGTTCCCATCATGCCGTAGCTTCCACAGTCCACCATGTTCCTCAATATTGTTCCCATCATGCCGTAGCTTCCACAGTCCACCATGTTCCTCAATATCGTTCCCATCATGCCGTAGCTTCCACAGTCCACCATGTTCCTCAATATCGTTCCCATCATGCCGTAGCTCCAACAGTCCTCCGGCGGCCAATGAGAATGAATAATGTATTTGTTTACCGTCAGTCATGTCTTTTTACATCACATAATAGCAGCAGCGGCAGGAATTATAATGAATAATATAATGAATAATATAATGAATAATATAATGAATGGATATAATGAATGGATATAATGAATGAATATAATGAATGGATACAATGAATAATATAATGAATGGATATAATGAATGGATATATTGAATGGATATAATGAATAATATAATGTATGATGGTGATGTGTTATAATTCTTTTAATAATTTTGTGTATGTTCGTCGTGGTCAGTGAAGATAGGTGGATGTCTCTCTCTCTCTCTCTCTCTCTCTCTCTCTCTCTCTCTCTCTCTCTCTCTCTCTCTCTCTCTCGATCCATTAATATGCCCAAACTCACATCACATTGAGGGAAATAAAAGCAAATATTTTCTCTCTCAGCTGAAGAAGAATTTATGATTGCACATTCTGGTTGCGAGGCGTTCACAATCCTCCATGCACGCCTCAGCCAATCAGGACGAGGCTTCTATTCACGCCTCAGGCAATCAACCAATCACTAGTGAGGCCTTTATGCACGCTTCAGCCAATCAACCATTTAGTCGCGAGGCCTCTATGCACGTTTCAGCCAATCAGGACAAGGCCTTCATAATCCCCCATTCATTCTTCAGCCAATCAACCAATCAGTAACGAAGACTTCACAATCCTCCATGCATGCTCCAGCCAATCAGGACAAGCCCTTCGCAATCCTCCATTCCTCTCCAACCAATCAGGATGAGGAATGGATTTGTTTACATCGCACCGGAGACTTTCATATTTCATCTGTTTTCAAAGTTCCTACGATTCATTAAATTCTCCTCAGGCTTTACTCTCTGTGTACCTGAGTCGACGGTTAGGTTAGGTTAGGTTAGGTTGGGTTACGTTGGGTTTCGTTGGGTTAGGTTGGGTTACGTTGGGCTGGTTTAGTTTACGTTAGGATAGGTTGGGTTGGATTAGCTTAGGGTAGGTTAGGTTAGGTTGGGTTGGATAAGCTTGGGGTGGGTTTACGTTAGGATAGGTTGGGTTGGATTAGCTTAGGGTAGGTTAGGTTAGGTTGGGTTGGGTTGCGTTAGATTTGGATAGTTTGGTTTAGGTTATGTTATGTTACGTTAGGATAGGTTGGGTTGGGTTAGCTTAGGGTAGGTTAGGTTAGGTTGGGTTGGGTTGCGTTAGAATCGGATAGTTTGGTTTAGGTTATGTTATGTTACGTTAGGATATGTTGGGTTGGGTTAGGTTAGGGTAGGTTAGGTTAGGTTGGGTTGGGTTGCGTTAGAATCGGATAGTTTGGTTTAGGTTATGTTATGTTACGTTAGAATAGGTTGGGTTGGGTTAGGTTAGGTTTGGTAGGTAATTTAAAAGCCATTTTTTCTCCACCTTCTTCGATAAGTTACAAGGCCATTCCAGAGACGTGTGTTGGATAATTTACAGGTCATTTTCTCTTAACTTCTTCCATAACTTGAGGACTATTTTACCAACTTTTTTTTTGTATGTGGAATATTGTCTTAGGTGGAACTTAGGTGGGGATTGTCTTATGTGGAACCGAACTTGACTTATGTGGATCATGTGTGGAACTTATATTTAGGAATCTGTTTACATTTTCACTCATTTCAAAGGTTTATTATCGCAGTACCGTATGTAATTTTAGAAGGTCAGGTCACGTCACGTCAGGTCATATCAGGTCAGGTCACGTCAGGTCATATCAGGTCAGGTCACGTCAGGTCATATCAGGTCAGGTCAAGGGTCAATATTAATACTAAAAATAAATGAAATGTGGGTAACGATATCCATAGAGTTTTAGTCAAAGTAGAGTCACAGTGTAGTTTGGTGGCCATGTTGGTTTTGGGGGCAAGGTAGATAAGTGAGGAAGGTAGACTCCCATCTTTAACATCTTGACTACTGAGCAACACTTATTACTTTTTTTTTACTTAACAATAGACGATTTGGTTAGGTTAGGTTAGGGTTAGGTTAGGTTAGGTTAGGTTAGGTTAGGGGTTAGGTTAGGTTAGGTTAGGTTAGGTTAGGGGTTAGTAATTTCTTATGGCAGGAGTCTTAAAAGAATAACAAGAGTTGGTTTAATATACTTAATAAATACTTGTATCTATTAATGGTTTAGATTATACTTGTATCTAATCGTGGTTTAATTTTCACAGGGGCAGTCATCAGTGTTGGGTAAGTACATGATTTTTATTTTACAGATATAACTTATAATAGGGAATAGCTATGGACATACATACATACATACATACATACATACATCCATACATATATACATACATACATACATCCATACATATATACATACATACATACATCCATACATATATATATATACATACATACATACATATATATACATACATACATACATCCATACATATATACATACATACATATATACATACATATATACATACATCCATACATATATATACATACATACATACATACATACATACATTCATCCATACATACACACATACATCCATACATATATACGTATATACATACTGTACATACATCTAAAGTTATACATTATTTATTTCCTGGGATTGAAAACTTCTCTAATGCAATATTCAATTTGACTTTGAATAACATGAATATACATGAATTAGATTATACATGGGTGTATTATTGAGGGTTTTTATACATGAATTAGATTATACATAGGTGTATTATTGAAGGTTTTACATAATGAAATATATGGACCCCTGAGCCTTGCTTTGTCCGGGAGTATATTTTATTTATATTTTTTTATTACTAATAATGCTGACCCGCCAGTACTGGAGACCTCGCGGTGGTAATGTCAGGTGCTGAGATAAATCAAGGCTTGGTTAGATTAGGTTAGATTTGGTTAGGTTTAGGTTAGATTAGGTCACAATGTTCAAATGTAGTTAGATATTTTACTAACTCTTTTAATGTTTATGGCGGCAGTGCAGTGATGGAGGTAAGGTTTTAATATATATTTTTGTACAATGTATTGGTGTTCCTTTACTTACGAACATCCGACTTACGAACAGTTGGACTTACGAACAAGCATTAGGAATGTTCGTAAGTAGAGGAACACCTGCCATGTATTTTTTCAGGAGCAGATGATTTATTTATTTATTTTTCCTATATATGTGATATTTATTTCAGATAAGTAAAATTTCATGTTTTTTTCTACGCCACAGGAGTTTTTTTTCCAGATGAAGATATTTTAACCTCTATATTTTTATGTTTTAATTATATGCAAATTTTATTTCAGATGAAGGTAAGGCTCTAAGGGTCCTATATAAATTTATTTCTGTGCTACTCATGCAATTTTTTCCAGATGAAGAAATTGTATTGGGATTTTTTTTAAGTCTATATGGTTAAGACTGATTTTACGTCGTTTTTCCTTCTTAAATATGTTTCTTTCGTTTTGATTTTACTAAATGGTAAGATATTATTGTAGAATGGTTCGTATATATGGGTTTTTGGGCTGGGTTTTTTTTAGTGGGTCAGTTAGATACGTTCTCACATCACCAGTTAGGAGGAAAATTGAACTTAGGAACCTTTGAGAATCCATCTTTGTGTGGTAGCTTAAGTGAGTCAGTTAGATACGTTCTCACATCACCAGTTAGGAGGAAAATTGAACTTAGGAACCTTTGAGAATCCATCTTTGTGTGGTAGCTTAAGTGGGTCAGTTAGTACGTTCTCACATCACCAGTTAAACAGAAGAAATTGGCAAGGAACCTTTGAGAATCCCATCTTTGTGTGGTAGCAAGTGAGTTAGTTAGATACGTTCTCACATCACCAGTTAGGAGGAAAATTGAACTTAGGAACCTTTGAGAATCCATCTTTGTGTGGTAGCTTAAGTGAGTCAGTTAGATACGTTCTCACATCACCAGTTAGGAGGAAAATTGAACTTAGGAACCTTTGAGAATCCATCTTTGTGTGGTAGCTTAAGTGAGTCAGTTAGATACGTTCTCACATCACCAGTTAGGAGGAAAATTGAACTTAGGAACCTTTGAGAATCCATCTTTGTGTGGTAGCTTAAGTGAGTCAGTTAGATACGTTCTCACATCACCAGTTAGGAGGAAAATTGAACTTAGGAACCTTTGAGAATCCATCTTTGTGTGGTAGCTTAAGTGAGTCAGTTAGATACGTTCTCACATCACCAGTTAGGAGGAAAACTTAACGTAGGAACCTTTGAGAATCCTTCTTTGTGTGGTAGCTTAAGTGAGTCAGTTAGATACGTTCTCACATCACCAGTTAGGAGGAAAATTGAACTTAGGAACCTTTGAGAATCCATCTTTGTGTGGTAGCTTAAGTGAGTCAGTTAGATACGTTCTCACATCACCAGTTAGGAGGAAAATTGAACTTAGGAACCTTTGAGAATCCATCTTTGTGTGGTAGCTTAAGTGAGTCAGTTAGATACGTTTTCACATCACCAGTTAGGAGGAAAATTGAACTTAGGAACCTTTGAGAATCCATCTTTGTGTGGTAGCTTAAGTGAGTCAGTTAGATACGTTCTCACATCACCAGTTAGGAGGAAAATTGAACTTAGGAACCTTTGAGAACCCATCTTTGTGTGGTAGCTTAAGTGAGTCAGTTAGATACGTTCTCACATCACCAGTTAGGAGGAAAATTGAACTTAGGAACCTTTGAGAATCCATCTTTGTGTGGTAGCTTAAGTGAGTCAGTTAGATACGTTCTCACATCACCAGTTAGGAGGAAAATTGAACTTAGGAACCTTTGAGAATCCATCTTTGTGTGGTAGCTTAAGTGAGTCAGTTAGATACGTTCTCACATCACCAGTTAGGAGGAAAATTGAACTTAGGAACCTTTGAGAATCCATCTTTGTGTGGTAGCTTAGGTTAATTAGCCTGATACCTTTTCACGTCTGCAATTCGTGGTAAAATAATTAACTTAATTATACTCGACATCTCAGAACGGTAGTTAGCTGACGCATCGAAAATTACATCTAAAAAAACATTAACTGGCAACTTCGATGTTCTCTGGCCATCTGGGTGTAACTGGGGTG